ACCACAGGTTTTCTTGGATAATATAGGCAAACACTCCATCGTTGAACTTCCCGTGAGCCTTCTGGCCACCGAGGATGACCACGGAATCAAGGAGGGCCCCTTTGCGCTGGTAGCTGAGCAGGCTGCCCGGCCGCTCCTGCTTGCGGTCCATCAGCACGCTCTCGATCAGGGTGGCGTGGGCCGAGCTGTTCTCTATGCCCATCAGCTTGTTGCTGGCGAACATCAGCGTCTTGTTGGAGACGGCGTTGAGATTGATGTAATTGAAGAACTTCTTCACATACTTCTCCCGCTCCTCCTTCCGGAAGTACACCCAATTGATGAGTGCGCTGAGAGCCTGGTCCTCGTTGAGCACGTGGAGGTTTTCATCACGCAGCAGGCGGCCAAAGATGACCGGTGGGCAGCGCATGAAGTGCATGGCGCCTTCGGGACTGGCCCAGTAATGGAAGTTGTCACGGATGCCAGAGTAGGCCAAGTCGGAGACCTCTTTGAGCTCAAATAACTCAGCCAAGAAGAGGTAGCGCAAGCAGTTGGCCCGTCGGATAGACTTAATGAGGAAATCGTTACAGTGAATGCGCAGACGCGGTGTGTTGAAGTACTGGGCCCCCCGGAGCAGTTCTTCCACATTCTGCTCTGATATCACCACCTTGCCGCTGTAGAAGTAGTCCAGGAGCTGGTCCACTGTGCTCGGACTCAGGTAGTTGGGGTCGATGGTGATGAATAACTCGTCGGTGGTCTTCATGTCGTTGCTGGAGATGAGGCTCTTCACCAGCGGAGAGACAGCAGCCAGTACATTGCGATGTGCGAAGAAGACATGGTGTTCCACTGTCAGGGCCATGTCCCAGTACTCTTTCCGTTTCCTCTGTTTGTTTAAGTTCTGCAGCACGAAGCTGTTGTAGTTTTTCTCAGTGAATTCCAATTTCATGGTGCTTCTTGCTGGCGGAGGCAGAAGATCAGAAGCAGGTACTGGAGAATAGAGCCTTTGGGATTCAGATTGATGGCTGTTTGCAGGGTAGTTGACCAGAGAGGAGTAGGGGGTGGGGTGGGAGAGGGGATGAGGTCATAGAGTGACATCATAAGGTCATCACAATGCCACCCTTGAGGTGGTCTTTCTCAGAGGCATAGAGCCCTTCTCTCCTCTGACCGGTCCAACATTCCTGAGCCAGACATTCTAGAACCCAAGGCCAGAATTCTGGAGGAAACTGCTATGGGCTGGAGTGCCAACACTGGACTTTCAAATCTCATTTCAAGGCTTCTAGAATGTTAGAGACAATTTTCGTGGGACTGTGGGAAACCACATGTGCAGGGGAGATAAGGAAAGGTGGGTGAGGGGAGGGAAGAGTTTTATCAGATTATCTAGAAGAATCCTCTCACTTTGCTGGAGGGAAACTGAGGTCATGAAAAAGAAAGAATTCATGCAAGGTCACAGAGCCAGTAGAAAACAGAGCAGGGCTGTCTATAACTCAGTACTCTGCACCCTGTCAAGGAGTTCCCTAACCACTCAGCTTTCTACAGTCTTTCTCAGGTCTCAGTCCTTTTCTCTGTCAAGGATCCTGGGCATTAGAGAAGAGTCACCCTCCAGTTTCAAGGGTACCATTCTGTCCCAAGCAGAGAGAGAGAGAAGGAGGAAACTCTTAATTGCCAGATGCAGGAGCCAGGCAGCCTGGGGATAGAAGGGCAGAGACAGATCATTTCCCTCCACATTCCCAGAAGTCCATTTGTAAAATGTTGAAGGGGCAAAGGTCAGGACTTGATGAAGTGGCTCACACTCTAAACCACAGTTCCCTCCCCATCCATGGACGAGTAACACTCTGGGAAGAGTTCAAGTGAGAAAATGCTAAGCATGGTGTTTCACTCCTTAGCAAAAGTTCAATAAATGCCAGCTGCAATTTTGCTTTTTTTTTTTTTTTTTTCCTTGTCATACTACAGTTTGCCAGGCGCTGGGGTGGTCTCTGGAGTGTGGTAGGGGGTGGGGGTGGGGCAGGGTGGAGATTTCTGAGCCTGCTGCGGGTGAAGCTGCAGACCAATCTCTGGCCCTAGCATGCACTTCCTTAGCGCTGGGCACGGCCCGGGGACCCCTGTTCTCCCTGCGCTGAGGCCGCACTGCCTGGCCATCCCACACCTGTTCCCACTGAGCCCAACAGGAGGCCCGGTCTCAGTCGCAGGTTCCTGACTGTTCACACAGACCCAGCCAGCTCCGCCTCCCATGGGGCACCCCTGCTGCTTGGGGTGCAAGGCTCTGAAGTTCTGGGGGATGGGGGAGTGCATCTGTGGCTGTCTAACCTATGGGAAGCTTCCAGGAAGGACACAGCCAGGCCCTTGCACTTGCAAGATAGTGCCTAGAAGACCTGGTTTAGGCCCTTGTCAGGCCAGACTCAGGTCCTTGAGCTCAGTTTGGGGTCGCAAGTCCCACTCCAGAATCTCAGGTGGTCCTGAGCGCCCCTTTCAAGGAGACTGTCAGTTTCAGATTAGGAGATTCTCCAGCTCTTCCCTCCCTGGCTTAAGTCAAATTCTCATTCTTGATTCTCTCTCTCTCTCTTTCCTTCATTCTAGATCAAACTTAGCTTGGGATCTAGTGATTTGAAAATTATTTTCTAAAAGACAATTACTTTTTAAGACTTTGTTCACTTTGATGCCTGGACAGGAGAGACTGAGTCTTGCCGGGAGCTAGTGGTTTACACCTGTAATCCTAGCTATTCAGGAGGCTGAGATCTGAGGATCGTGGTTCAAAGCCAGCCTGGGCAGGGAAATCTATGTGGTTAATCTCCGATTAACCACTAGAAAAGAGGAAGTGGAGCTGTGGCTCAAAGCACTAGAGTGCTAGCAGCTCAGGGACAGCACCTAGGCCCTAAGTTCAAGCCCTACAACTGACAAAGCAAAAAAAGAAAAAAAGAAAGAGAGAGAAAGAGAGGGGGGGGGAGGAAGGATGGAAGGAAGAAGACTAAGTCTTCTGGGACATGACTCATGGCTTAGAATTTCTGAGGAAATTCTGGGGTATGATGTGTGGCTAAGAATTTCTGGAGGAAGGCTCCCTATACAATGCTCTAAATGCTTCTCTTACCTCCTGAGAAGCAGCAGCCATTTGACAGATGCAGCCAATTCTGTGTATCTTTGTCCTCTTAGTATGAATGCTGACATCTCTGGTTCCCACTGGTATCCAGGTTGGTAGATCTCACTTCCTGGGAATCTACAGGAGCAGAGGCCAGTAGGCCCCAAAGTACCAGTGCAGGAAGGATCTTTCTCATGGATGCCCTCAGCCAGAAACTGTGCCTGGAGGGTGTGGTAGAAACCAGAGGATCTGACAGACCTAACCCCAAGTGTCAGATCTCCTCCAGACACACAAACTGAGGCCTAGTGAGGGAAGCCTGTTCTTAGAGACACAAGTCAGGGTTGTGTCTCCTTCCTTACCTGCTGGCTTCAAAAGAGGGTGGGCAATCCAGATTGTTTGTGCTCTAGGCTGTTTGATTTGTGAGACTTGCCATCTTCAAAGAACCCATTACAGTGCTGTATGCCTATAGTCTCAGCAACTGGGGAGGGTGAGGCAGGAGGACCTTTTGAGTCCAGAAGTTTAAGATCAGCCTATGCAATGTAGTGAGATCCCATCACACACACACACACACACACACACACACACACACACACACGTACGTGTGGTATGGCAGTATACATTGCTGAAACCCCGGCATGCTGGAGGCTGAGGCAGGAAAATCAAGTTTCATAGTGGAATCTTGTCTCAAGAAAAAGAACAAAAAAGGACAGGAAGTCCATCAAAGTAGTGTGAAATGGGAGTGTTCAACTGTTTTCCCTGTCTGGCTTTTCTTCAGTCCTGGAAAGCAGGTTTTTCTTTAATCCTACTAACTGTGAAAACAGAGTCTAGCCTCCAGAGGCTGGGGGCATTCCAGCTTCCACCACTTCCACCTGGCTCTGTGTGTGTGTGTGTGTGTGTAGTGTGTTGGTGTCCCTAGAAGCCACCAGGAAATTCAACTGGCAGTTTGCCTGGTATGGCCAAAAAGGAACCCCTTCCCATTCTCTTCATCCACCCACCACCAGCTGCCTGCCCAGCTCTACATTTTCTATTCATGGAGACTCCTGAGGGTTGGGGCCCCTAATCTTTGGGGATCATCAGTTAGCACATCAGTTTGTTATGAAGCCCTGGAAAAAATGAAGGGCTTGTTTTAAAAATACTCAAAACTGGCCCTGAACTGGAGAGTTCAGGAAAGTTCCCTTTTAAAATATTTCTTCTTGAACCTGGTAACTGTATTTCTCTGTCTTGTCCACTCATAGCTTCCCTACATATAGCTTTGGCTTAGTTCCAACTCATGACATCTTCACTTTTTCAGTTCCACTGGTAAATTGTTTCCAAGTACCATTGCTTAAATTCCCAGTTCATGGCAAACCTATGAACTACCTTCCTTTAGATCAGGTCTTCACTCTAGTCTAATCAGCTGTGTGCTGGCAAAGTCACATGGTACAAAACTTGACCACTTAAGCAGCACGGGTTTACAGATGAGGGGTTAGAAGAATCCCTGGGGTTGAGATACTCAAGGAAATGAATTACTTCAGCCACTAACTTCGAATCAAAACAAATCACACTGGAGGAAGATATTACACAAAAGAAAAGATTTTATTGTTTTATTAGTCAATATCCCTGGATGAAATGAAGGGTACAGCACAAGACTGTGTTCACAGTTCAACTTAGACTTTCAAGAAGCTGTTTCAATGACTGGCTAACAGCTCTCTCCCTGGGCCCCTGCTAACCTGGCAGATGGAGAAGCTTTGGTTCAGGGATACTCAGTTGGGCATCTGGGTTGATCTATCCCAGAGAGACATTGTAAAACTGCTATTCGGGAGGGACTTTGTATAGTTTAAGGCAAAACACAGAACAAATGAGCATTTCTAAGCCCCTGTCTGGGACACCACCCAGGATCGTTTGGGCTAGTCACACATTCCAGGAGCGAGCAGCAGCACAGCTGCGGCCACAGCTGCCAGGAAGGGGTCTCGAAGATGGGGGTAGGGCAGAGTCTGGAGGGCTCCCCCCAGGGGCCCTGGGTGAGGTCACCCTCACCCTCATACCACTGACTTCATCCTCCAAGCCTCCTGGCTAGTTTCCCAGGCAGTGTGAAGTGCTCTCTCTAAGAACAAGGCCCCTGGGCCACCTGGGGGCAGTGTGTGTGTGTGTGTGTGTGTGTGTGTGTGTGTGCATGTGTGCATTCCAGACCTAGTCCAACTCCCCAGAAACCAGGGGTAACATTGAGCTCCGAAGAAAAGCTTTTGCTCTATTTGTTCGTTGGCAATCCCATTAGCAAATCCCAGGAGGCATGGTGGATGACCTCATGTCTTCCAACTGAGAAATCTCACTGACTCTGTGAAGTAACTCTGGCTGCTGCTCTAGGTCATCAATGCAGGCTGTTCTATGGCACAGTTAAATGAGGGTTTAATACTCTGAGATATCTACTGAATTCAATGCATGAAAATCACATAGGATGATCTTCAGTTCTTAGCATTACAAATATATGGCATAGAAAATGTCCAAGGGTGGACATGGGGGGGGTGGGAAAGGTACAAAAGAAATTGGCTCCTAAAAACAACAAAAAGAAAAAAATTAATTGGTTCCCCTTCCCTCTACCCAACTCTCAGAATACAATTGTGGTGTGGGTAACCATCTAGATAAACGCTTCCGATGTTCATTTCTTTAACACTGATTAACTCCTTTAAGAAAGAGTTCATCCAGAGCTATACATTCAAGTGTGTGCTTAGGAGATACACGCATCATACACACAAGTACATATATCCACAGGGACAGACTCGCAGCTGGTTTGTTTTGTTTTTTTTTTTCATTGTTCTAGGCACTTAATAGCTGCATTCCTATGTCTCCCACTTTCCCATTCCATTGGACAAATTACTTCTTTGGAGGCAGGACATTTTCTTCAAAGTAGCCCTGGTTGACAATGTTCCTTGCTGGGAAGTATCTGGCCACCACGAAGGAGGACCCATCACTTGCAGATGCCTTCCCCACTCCCATAGTCTTGGTGTTCTTCCACACCATGGCAGTGAAGTGTCCTGTAGAGAACAAATAGAGGAAAGAAGACAACAGGCAAGTCAGCAGGTCAACTGAGAAAAATGTTCAGATTTTATAGCCTTGAATCATTTTGCCAGGCTTGAGTAGCTTGGTCTTTGCAGATACTAATCAGGAAGGAAAGGTAAAACACATCATTCTGGATCTTTCTTTCTTTCTTCTTCCTTCCTTTCTTTCTTTCTTTTGGGGGTGGTAAGGTGGTATTAGTGAGGGTGGTGAAGTGAGGGTTTTCTGCTTACTAGGCCGCCATTTTCATATCTCTAAACATCCTTGCTTTAATTGTTAATTTATTTGAATCTCATGCCAGCTGTGAACCACTGTCCTCCTACCCCTGCTCCTAGATTTCTAGACAGATCCTTTTAATCTTGTACATAGACCTCAGCCACCTCAACATTTCTAATGGTCTATTAGAGCTCATGACAAAGTTCAGGAGATCCAGCAATTGTGATGCCAGACTCCCTGGCACCTGCCTCTACCTTGTTCTCAAACTGTACTCTGAGCATGGATCACTGTGTCACTTTCCAATAGCCACTTCTTTTTTTTTTTTTTTT